AAAAAACCCCCCTCACAATTTTACCCAATAAAAACTCGAACTTCGGGAAACGTGAGCCATTTTTACAATGCTTGTATCTCGGCAAAGAAGCAAACTTTTGGGGATCGCTTAGACACCATTCGAAAGAGGACGTCGAGAGCTACAAACCCAGCGAAAAAAATAAAAACAAGTTTTCTACCCCAAAATAGGCTAATTTTGTAAAATTTCGCTAATTTTAATTAATTAGAAAAATATTTTGGAAAACTTTTATTTTCACATAGATTTGTTGTCTCAACTGTTCTCTTTCGATTGGCGAAAACCCCAGGTCGCCAGCTTTTGTTGTTAAAAAGTTATTCAAAAAACATCTACCTACACAATTCATTGAAATGGATAGTATTGCTGGTAACAAAATAACGACGGATATATTTTTAGTTTATAAAAAAAACCTTGGTCCAGCAGGTTTTAGAATAGTATTTCAAAGATTTTTTCGTCTTTTTAACATTAAACTACAAAAAAAAGACAGATCTATGATCTACACAGAAAACTGCATTGATTGACATATTTGACGAACCTTTCTTGAAAAAAAATGTCATAAAAAGTTCTTAGGCTGAACCCTTCTTCAGCCATTGTTTCAGTGAAAGAATTTTTCGTCCAACAACGCTTTGAACCAGCGTAATATGCATTGCTAATGTGAAGCTAAAAATACTAATGTTTTCAGGATGGGCTAAAATTGTTATATTTTTAATGGTGTTTGAGGAGAATATGATAAAACATTATTGTAATAGTATATAGTTTTCTGGAAAATTTCCTGAAAAAGTAGCAGTTGTAACCAGCAAAGAACATTTTTTATTCAAATTTGACTGATTTCTATTGAATATAGCTTCTTGGACTTTATTTTGACACATCAGTGATGAAACAATGTATAAAATTTTCAATGTTAATAATTTTTCATTGAAACTATTTGAATTGTTCTAAAAATTGAAGACTCAGAATATAGATTAGATCAAATGAATAAACGTTAATTAGATATAAAATGTGTCGATACTAAACGTTTTTGATGTAACATAGCGCTTATCTGAAGTGTTTACGTCCTTGCAGATCGATACGTTATCCCATATATATATATATATATATATAAATAAGATGAAGCCCCAAGACTATATAACTGGAAAATTTGAACAAGAAAATCCATCGTGCACCAATATGTCAGTGAATTGGGCAGCCATTGTACCATTTTAAGGAAAGAAGTTGGCAAAATGAAGTTGACAATGAAAATAATTCGGCTAGTATGTTTGCTAGAGCCATATCGATCGTCTGTAAAAATGATCGATCGGGAGCTAAAAAATTGTAATTCTGCTCGTAGGTCTCAATTTTCTTCATCAGAACTGATTTTTTTTACAAAATAAAAATATTATATTCGAAATCAACGTCAATAACTCAGTCGAATGACGTATTATTTCATCCTATCCGACAACTTTCGTTTTTTTCGAATTTCTACGCCGAAAAATAACTGAGATTTTCACTAAATAATAAAAACTAACGAAAAATTTTGGAATATATATCATTCGACTTAGTTACTGACGCTGATATCGAATATGATATTTTTATTTTGTAAAAAATGAGTTCTGATGGAGAAAAATGAGACTTACGAGCAGAATTCCGATTTTTTCGCTCCTGCTCTACAAAAAATTAATTTTCTTACTGACGACGTAAAATTAAAAGAAAATGATACGTCATGTTTAAGCTGACAGTTTGCCGGTTCGAATGAGATAAGAGAAATGGCAATATGTATCCACACTAAAAACTAGATAGGTTTGCAAAAATGACCTACTGTCGTTTTGCAGGATCAGTTCACGTGAAACAGGCTAAATCACTTTTTGGGTTTGAGATCAATCAAACATTTTCTCTATACTCAGTTTTGACTGAAACTATAGCGATTTTGAGCAAAATCGATCCTTTAGAATTTTTGAAAATTTTCACCCTAAAAAAAAGCTTTAAAACTGACTTTTTCTTACTTAGCTCGATGTCCTCTATCCAACCATGTATAAATATATCAGAAAGAAAAAGTTACTTCAACTTCGAATTACGGACGCCTTACTTATAACCCTCGAGAGATGCTGTTGAAGTACATTTATTTTTCTTTAAAAGAGACAACAAAAACAGTGAAATGCAACAATAATAGCATTGGTCTAATAAGCACTTTTGGCCATTAATAGCAAGCGAAAAAAATTATCGCAATTGAAGACTATCCTCAGAGTTCAGTTTGCGGGACAAAGTAGAAGACCATCTGGTCTTCTATCCTGGGGTGAGCGGCTACTGATCGCAACGTATCAGAGGATAGCGAGATTAAAATAGCATTAATTGATGAATAATTAATAAAGAAAAGGCGTTGCGACGTTGATCGAGTTCATGGTACATGATAGATATCATTCAATATTATCCACAATTTATGCCAAATTAGATAAAATATCGGCACAAGTGGGGCAAGATGACCAGGTCTTTGATCCATCGTATTCAACAAAAGGAATCGTTATGAAAATTGTTTTAACGGATTTACTTGGAACGGTTCTTTTAAGGATGATTATTATTCATATGATATATATTTTCGAAAGTCATCGAATAATCTTTTTCAAAAACATTCCCATTTTTCTTAACATTATGTATTTAGTATGTTTATTACTCTAATTGTTTGTAAAGATTTTGTTTCCCCACTGTTATGTGATTAAGTATTATCAAATTTTATGGAATTTTGTAACTTATAATAGTCATGCACGTTAGAAGTAACAACTATAGAGCATTGTCATATCACTCAAATAAATCCAAGAAACAAAGCTCATCGCTTCTTTTTAGTTTGTAATGGAAATCACCTACTTATACACAACGCTCGCTCGAGAGTTCATATTAATCGCCTTGTCAGCTCAAGATAGTTTATCACTACATCACTTTTACCATTGAATATTCAACGGCATTCAATGACATTGAAACCGACAATCAATTCATTGAATTTTTTCATACATGTCAATTATTTTATTGGACAGCAAGATTTAATTGAGACTTATTTTACATTCAAATCATTGCAGTTAACGTTCATCAAACGCATACCATATCATTCATCTTTGGCCTTGATTATCCTATCAAGCGATATAACAAAAGCAGATATAACGTTTATCATTTGAAAAATTTGAAAAAATGTTATTATAAATTAAGTTGTTTGATCGTGCTTTTTATGTATTTGTACTGACTAAAATGCTTTTGTACAATAGATTATTACATGACTTTTTTTTCTTATCCTATATGTTTGATGTACGTGCTCAAAAGTGAGAAAAAAGATCAAAAAAAGGTGGTGTAGATGTTTAAGCTTAAACATTTAGCTTACATATTCAAGGCTATCACATCGCGTAACTATAGCGGCAGTTACTTAACCCTTTTCTCAAAATTTCTATTTTCTTAGAAAAGTAAAATATTTTAAGAAAATTTCTTTAAATCTAATATTTGACTCAATGACTTTTGAATAATTTTAGACTTCTGATTGTACTTCCAACTTTGAAGGTAGCAGAAAGCAACTTTAGCCATTAAATTAATAGAAAATCGTGAGAATATTAATACTATAAATGTTGAATTAATATATCGCATCTGTAACCCCGATCCGACCACCTATAATATGCCCAAATTCTATCGGTTTTGTTTGGATACTGCCTGAACACAACGGTTAGGTTTCACCGCTTCATTTTATATTCTACTGAATGACAATAGGGTGTACTATCAATATGAACTAATTGCATCCACTTATTATTTATCTAGCAGAGCTGCAAGATATATCTTCAAAGCATTCGTTTTCGTCTGGGATCCGGACGGACCCCATGTGGACGGATCAGGGTTAGGCGTTAATTTACACATGATATCTGTTTGGTAGAAAGAGCAATGTAAATTTACTGTGCGCATATGCATATAATATCTCCCATCATATCTTAAATTATTAATTCATCAATGAAGACAGCTAAATAAGGAATAAGCGATGAAGGATCGTTACATTTCTTGTCGTTTCACAAAATTATGTATGCCAAATATCTGAAGAGAAGTTCGTCTTCAGAATAAGAAACAATGTGTCTATCAACTCCAATATGATGTCTTTTATAGTTTAGAGAGAGGAATGCAATGCAACTGTTCGTTCACAACTAGTTAATTGTACCAAATACTTTCTATTTTAGTGACGATATAGATGGATGAATTCATCTGATATGGGATAAATAACCCTCTTAGCACTTGTTTTGTCTGTGTAAATAAACAGTTCGATATGATGGTTCGTTTGATAAAAATGAGTAATTATCTTTTGTCATTTGTTCTTATTTCCATTAAACAATCAACACTAAATTAGACTACAATGTACAAAAACAAACCAGATATAAACAGAAAAATATTTCCTAAAAAATTTCAAAGAGACTTTCTCTTTTTTCGTAGTATATGCAAATAAACTGTTATTTTTTGAATAACTTAGTTGTCATCATTGTTCTCATACACACACCTACAGTTCACATATAAGTCAACGATGATAACTGTTTTCGAATAGTCTATACGACAAGTTTAGAGTCAACAAATGGAAAAGGTTAAATTATATCTGAGTAATTTCAACAGTATCTTCAATTGTTTCCATTGATTTTGTATTCGGTTGATGATTATTACCATTATGATTAATAATAAATTTTGGACTTTTATTATCACGATAAATTTTAAGTAATAAAACGATGGCAATAAATTGTAATATCGCACACGTAAGAGCAATACCAACAATTGTCCATATTTCAAAAGTTAAATATTTATGAATAATTGGATAACATCCATTTACATTGATACTATCATCATCTCCACTTGTTTGATTCCAACAATCTCGACTATTTGATAGTAATGGTGTTGATGTTCTACGACAACAAGACAATGGTAATGTAAGTTTAGTAGTCATCAATAATGAAGGATAATCTTGTTTTGAATTAATTCCACAACATTGATATTTGTCTTGGAAATAATCTAGTGCTTCTATAGCTGAATAGGGTTGAAACGGCGATGATGATAAGAATAAAAAGGACGAAGAATTGTTTTCTGCTCCAACATAATAATGATTGTTGAGTGTGTCTAACATCAAATATTTTAATTGAGGAACGATAATGTAAAAATAAAGAAAAGCAATAATCGATGCAAATAGATTCATGATTAAACAAACAATGAGAATGACAACCATTGGAAATATCAACGATTTTAAACGATTAATAGCCGAATGAAGTGAGAGACCTGTCAACGGTAAACTAATTGAACCTAAACCAATGAACGCAATGGCTATGTAGAATAAATAGGCATCATATTTAATTGTTTTTGTTAAACGATTGAGTGATATGGAATCGTTTTGAATCATCGTTAGAAATATGCCAACAATACTCTGAATAATTCCAACAAGCCCGATCAACGTACAAATAAGGCATAAAAATGTTAATTTATTACAAATGGAGGCCATGTTTGACGATATTACTTATAGAATACTATAATTTCTAAAATAATAACGAATCTTTATTCCAGAAACTGATATGATCTGAAATATAGAGATAAAAATGCCCTTTCTTAGCAATCACACTGATTCCCTTTGACAACGTTGTTCGATTCAGTCTAAACACTTTTCCTATTTGCTTCTACTATCTAACGTTCTCATTTAATCCTGTAAGTCTCCAAGGCTTTAACACTTGGTTTGGGTCAAGCGCTTATGAAAATGGAACATATGAGACCTCGATATGATTTTCTCACGCTGGAAAAATATTACTTTTCATTTTTTTAAAAAAGTTAAGTTTTTATAATTTAAATTTACAATAAAAATTTGAAGAAAATTATTTTTCTTTAAATTAATTCTCGTTAGAAACCAGAGACCAAACGTATCTAAGTTTAGACCATTATGTTTGAGGAAGTTGAGATAGAAAATGAGCTGAGATGGTGAAGAAAATCCAGAATGATCAAGAGACGGAGCCCAAAATCTCAGAAAAATATGACCTTTCGTTTTGTACCATCAGCAACCTACAATTTCTAACAATAATTTATTCAGCCCACACAATTTGAAAGAGCACACCTCCCTACATATTTCTGAAAAGTCATTGAATAAAAAGCTTTTCTTAAGTACCTAAAAAAAGTAAATTAAAAAAATTAAATCTTTTTAAAATCTTCATTTTAAAATTTGAATATCTCAGGTAGCATACAACACAAAGAAAAACTTTTTTTACCATTCGATAGCCAATTTAATTCGCTACAATCAACATAAGATTAGTTTTTCCAAACAATGCTTTCTGAGTTTGTTATAATGATAATGCCAAAATAGAAATTGAACTTTAAAGCATTAATTAAACTTACCCAACAGGAGTTGATCGGATTATCATTATAGAACAATTACAATAAACTTATTGTATCTTAACTTTAAATTCTATTCTATGTAACTCCGTAGAAAACTAACCTGTTCTTTTTTAATTTACTTTCTTCTAAAATTTAAATATTGCGTCTATTTTTTATTCTTCTTCACAAATCTGATTGTTGTTAATGAAATGATGTTTAATAATGTAACAATAAACTCCACGTACTAATTTTCAGACGTTTGTCTTGGAAAAGAACAATCACAGTAGAGAAAAAAACGAGAGCAATATTACCTTATTGTGTAGGATCTATGGTGATCGGTCAGCTGTATGCTATACGTGGTATCAATTTTTTTAAAGAATACATATATGAGTATGTGTGTCTTTATCTTTGAGTCTACGTATGTTTTAATTCGTCTTCTCTGTTGTTATTTAGTACATACAAGTTCAAATATATATACATATATACACATATATATTGTTTTACATCTTGTATGAATTTAAAAAATGAAAAGAAAAAAGTCTCACACCACATATACACAATGCTTTTATACACGATTAGAATAAACTCTTTTAGATAAAATTCTCTCCTATGTATTCATTTTCTATTTACTCAGTTCCACTTTTTTTTGCTCTATTTCTTGAATGTTTGTTTGACTTTTATTTGGAACTATGGGGATAAAATTTAAGGTGTTATTTCACATATTGAACTTTTTCACTCTCAATAGTTCATAATCTCACAATAGGATGAGATGCGCGTGCAACGAAAAAAATATGTTTTGATCAACAAATTAATTAGTAGACAGACAACAAAAAAAATATATATCCAATAAGAAATATGAATAGAACAGAAGATTACTTTAATTTCTTTTTGTTTTCATAATGATTTTGTCAACTTAAAACAGTTATAAATAACGGCCCTAAACTGTACTTGACACGACTAAAAAAAATACCAAAACAAGAATGGAAATTATTATACACAGCTAGACGAAAGAATATGCAAAATTACAGTCTGATGTTTGTCAAAATCGTCTATTAGATTTTTAAAAAAACATACAAAATATTCATTCAAATGTAGTGGATATAAAGAAAGTATCCTTTTTATTCTTTTGAAATTGAGATAATCATGCCGAATAGTAATCCACAATCAGTAACGGTCATGTCTAGAAATGTACATGAACACTAACAATATATGTGCAAACACTCAGTTTGATTAGCCATTTTATTCAACATGTATCAGGTGATGGGCAAAACTTGTGAACCATTGGGTAAGAGGAAAAGTAAAGGTCGTCCGAAAATAATTCGTACTACCTTGTTGCCATAAAGTTAATTTTTTTCTAAAATGTTCATATTTCTTATTATATATATATATATATTCTTATTGTACATAGTTTCTGTATTCTTTTTGTTGTCTATTAATTAATTTGATGATCAAAAATATTGATACCGTATGTGCAATATCCAATGAATTAGCCATAACAATTATATTTGTACAAAAAATGAAATTGGATAGTAAAAGTCAAATATGCAGATAAAAACACAATCATATATACATATACATGAATTATGACTTTCGAATTGTCCATTACATCACACTGTAATAAAACAGTATATCTAAAAAGGGGAGGGAAACTTTTAGGAGGAAAACTAGGGAGGAAACTTTTCGTTGAACAAATATCAAATTACAAAAATGCTTGTGATTAACTGATTTTAACGTTATGTAAACTCAACTCAATTGATCATTTTAATCAATCAATCTTTTTAGTACATAGTTACAATAGAATATGATAAACAACCATAACATTTAAAATTGGAACGCTATATAATGTAGTGGGATGTAAAACCGAGATATCATGGAATTTATGAGTTTAAGAAATAAAAGATATTTAAGTTGATAAAAAGAAATACATTTAAATCATTCGTTTATCTTGTCATAGCATTTTTATATGGATTATTTGGCATTATTTGTAATGATTTAGCAATTATTTGAGTTGACCTTGTTCTATCTATATATGTATGATTATTATTTGATGTTAAAACCTAATTATAGAAACAGCAGTGAGTTGTCAATTATATTATTTTTTTCTCATGAATAATAACTGATATCATTACTAATTCATGTATACCATGCGTAAAACATGAGATCAGTAATATTTTTACTATACTTGTGCGCTGTTAACGTGTTCTCCTTGTTATATACTTGCTCTGCTCTACATATATCAGTGATACTTAACACCATGTTTTTTCTATATGCCCGATTATTTTCACCAAAAAAAAAAAAAGAACTTCTTGTCGTCATATACTTGTTACAATTGTTTATGAAAGCAAAAACTTCTTTATATGGAAAAAAAAGTAGATTATTGTATTTTTAAACAACAAAATCATGTATATTTTTCGACAATTGTCCATATATTTTGTGCAAAGAACTACAAAAATAACTGTATAAACCGCTGGTATTATTAATTATATTAGTGTATGTCATATAAAAGGAAACAGAAGGAAAGAATGACACCTACCACATAGCCACACGACACAATAAATGTTTCCTAGAAGACATAAAAAAGAACTGTTTTCTCTTTTACGTCCATTTAGCAACCTCCTGTTCTAATAAAACATTTGTTTTTTGCAATAATCCAACTAATTATGGCTTTAAATCGTGAAGTATTAGTAAAAGTACGTTTTTTTCGTTAATTTAAAATAATAAATTATTCAAATTATTTCATACTATTTAAAGTACTTCTTAGAAGTACTTATTAGAAATTTTTTAATCAAATCTTAATATTTAGAAAGCGTCTAAACGTGATCCCGAAATAGAAAAGAAAACACAAGAATGGATTGAGGCTGTTACTGGAGAAAAATTTGCAGATGGCTCGTATGAAGATGCGTTGAGAGATGGCATTCTTCTTTGCAAGTAATTATTCTTTTTCTTATTTTACAAATTTCTTAAAGTAAATTATTTAAAATATTTTATTTAGTCAATGCTAATATGAGTATGCAATTGTTTTTATTCTTAATTTTCAGATTAATGAATACTTTACAACCGGGTTCTATACCAAAGATTCATACGACTGGTGGTCCAATGAAACTGCGAGAAAATATTGGTCTATTTCAAGAGGCGGCAAGAAAATATGGTCTCGACGGTAATGAAGTATTTCAGACTGTCGATTTATATGATAAACGTGATATTCCACAAGTAACGGTAAGATAACTAGGCACATTGACCTATAATAAATTTTATCTTGCTTTTTCTTCTTCTTTTTTTAGCTCTGCATTAATGCCTTAGGACGTCTTGCTCAAAAAAATAAGTTCTCTGGTGCTCAGCTTGCTCATAACTAAGAAAATGGGTGACGAACGTAATTATAAATAATCATAAACTGTGTCTGAATCAGTGTTACGCTAATTTTTACATCGTTTTTTTTATCTTTTTTAATAGTCAAGCTAAAAAGTATACGAATGGATTGTACTCTTTTCGTAAAAATATAATTAAATGAATAAAATTTTAGTGCACATTTAATATAAAAACAGGAGTCTGAAATTCCCATCACAACTCAATTACTGTCTATTTTACAATAGAATGTACTCGGTTATTTGTTGAATAACTTGGGAACGCTGGTAGCTATCAAATTCGGGATTTTACCGTTAGAAAGAGGATGATTGAGGGCATCTATCTAACTGAAAATCAATACACTTGAAAATTTCGTTAGAGTTTTTTCAGGAGATTTTTGGAAAACCATTGACTAGTTCCGTTGGTCAGATATCTTTTTAATTTCAATTTAGCCCTTTTATAGGCCAACGACTATTCTATATACCCTGAAATTTTCAAAATTTTCTCAACTATGCAGGTGCTAGCATTGACTTACTAAGACCCTGGACAGCCGGTTTTGAGTCCGAAACAGCAGTTCCCGCTACAACACATGGGCTAAAACCATGAATTCATAAATTTTCGACTACTCTGTATCGCTTGGCACAGTTTTTCTCTTGTTGGAGTTAAACCAAAGTTAATGGAAGAAGATCAGCAAAACACCCAGTTTTTAGGTGCGACCTGGCTTCCAACGAGATGACCTCATCCTGCTCAGTTCTTATCCAATTGAGCAGAAACTTTCAAAAAGGAGTCAAAGAAGATTCTTCTTCTCAATCCCAGTGTCCGAAAAGGATAATTTACATCCGAAAATCGACAAGTTCTCTAAAGATCCTTTAAAATTCTTTCAGGTTTATAGGAAACTGGTCTGATTTTACACGCTTGCTTCATGTAAAAGGATGCCTGTCAAGCATCCGCCGAAAGTTGCTGCTCAATTGGATAACAACTGGTCTCGCTGGAAGCCAGGTCGCACCTAAAAACTGGGTGTTTTGCTGATCTTCTTCCATTGACCATGATTTAACTCCAACAAGAGAAAACTGTGGCAAGTAATACAGAGTAGCCGAAAATTTATGAATTCATGGTTTTAGCCCATGTGCTATAGCTAAATTTTCAAGTATATTAATTTTCAGTTAGGTAGATGCCCTCAATCATCCTCTTTCTAACGGTAAAAAACCGAGTTCGATAGCTGTCAGCGTTTCTAAGTTATTCAACAAGTACCCGAATGCAGTTTTCTTTATGAAAATCCAAAAATAAGAGCTGGTGGAATCAAAGACGAAGAAGAATTATAAAATTTATAATTTTGACGATATAAATGTTTTGAATCAGATTTTTTTCTCGAGATTTGAATTTGATGAAAAATTAGAATCGTTTGTGGATGAGAATATATTATAATTTAATGTTCGAAAAAAATCATCAAATTTCAACATGTTTTCGATAATAAAAGTTATGATTGAGATATTTCATTCGAAATGAGCAAATGCTTGCCATCGAGTTTGTTCATTACAATAAGTAAAACTAAATCAGAAATCAATCAATCATATGGGATAAATTCAATATTCTTGATCTATATATCTGGCTATCATATTCAATTGCATATTACTTGTTCCTTCATAAATTGTTCCAACTTTAGAATCTCTAAAATACTTTTGCTGTGGATATTCTTCAGAAAAGCTAGTCCTCCCATCCAATCGATACTAAAGATAGAAAAAAGAAAATTGATAGAGAATCAAATAATTTTTTCTGTTTCCTACTAACCATTTGCTTGTAACTTGTCCACAAAGCTAAACGCAAAAAAATAAGTTATCCACAGATATAAACTTAAAATTTTTCTGTTTACAAACCTCCGATGCATATAGTGATTTATTACCTAAAATGATTTATTACCATCTTTTAATCGTGCTGCATTATACGTTAAAAGTCTAGCTGCTTCAATTGAGTGGCAATTGATGTTATTTGATATTGCATACCCTAAAAATGTAAGAAAGAATAAAACAAAAATTGAAATAAACATTTTTCATACAAACAAATCTACCTGACAATCAAATATACGTTGTCCAAATTGTTTCCTGTCTTTTGTATATGGAATTGTTTTATCAAAACAAACTTGACTAATACAGAACATCTGAAAAGCAACCCAGGACGTCGAAAACGGTGTAATTAATTGCCAATTAAATACCATTTAATACGCTGTTAATAAGCATTTAAATGGCATTTTTATGACATTTGACCCCGTTTTTTGCCATTATAACTGGGAACG